TGCATTTGTTCTTACCTGGGGATCCACAGAGTTCCATTCACGTGCAGCACTGTGAAAGCTTGAAGATGAGGTGCGGCAGGGTTAACAGTTTCTGCAGATTCCAGACCATAACCTTTGGAGGATGACGGGCGTTTGTGGTTCCTCCCTATCTCCTCCAGGTCTGCAGGCTGTAAGACACCACTGCAGCTGCCAAATGAGCTGTGGTCTATGCTGCTTGAAGAGTCTAACTCTACTGGCTCCAAGGAGCAAGCAGATGATATAGAGCAGTAGTCTGTGAGTGAATCCTGGTGCTGGATCATCTGAGTACCTGCCTGCTCATCGAAGATCAATGTCACTTTTTCATTGGACCACTCTGGCTTCTCTTTTTGGTGTGTGGATTTGAGATCAGTCATTGGTGTCAGCCCTGTGGGACGCTGCACAGTAAAGACGCTCCGTAGAGGACTGCTATCCCCGCAGCTGAAAGCAGGACATGACTTTAAAAGACAGCCACTCAAGGAGGGTTTGAGTTGTGACTTAAGAAAGCAACATGCCAAAAACAAAATACATCCATTTACATTTCAGAAAAAGGATATCATCACACACACACACACACACAATATCATAACATTTCTTGGTATCAAGATCAAGAGTGAGAAGTATCATCAAGAACTACAACGTCTACACAGAGATATTTAAACTGTACAGAACAAGCCTGGCTGATAGAAAGCAAAGATTTCTCTGGAAAGAAAACTAGTTAGAGATGTGTCTACAGACCCAAGAAGAACTGCAAGGACACTAGCGAATGACTTAACCAAGCTGGGAATTATAGTCTGAAAGAAGCCAATCACTAGAACCCTGCACAGGAAAACATACTCAAACAATGACTAAACTAGAGCTGCAACTGCCTTGTCAACATGGAAGGATTAAATATATAGAGACCAAAATGTGAAAGTTACTGATGAAACACCTGGCCAATTCATGCCCTGGTGTTTCATGTCACCAGCCCCCCAACACCGTCCCACAGTCTGGAAGGCATGCACAGCATTCTGATAAAGGGTGTGTAAGCCATGCTATAGGCTGCTGCAGGTAGAACTGTTGATAATCATATGCTCAAAGTTTCATTACTACAATGATTCTGAATGCCATCACCAGCAAACAACAGAGTCCTTAGGCTAATCCACTTTTCACTGGGAGATATTGAGTTCACTACCACGTGACAGAACCTTGAAAATAGTATCACGAATTACAGCCCATTTGCTTTCATCATGGCAATGGAGGCGATCATCAGAGGTTCAAACTGGGTGGTGACAAGCAGCTCAGGTGTCCAGTTAACACTAATCAGGGCTTTATGGATGACATAACAACACTGACGACAACACCATCAAATATCACACAGACCAGGATGAAGATCATTTCTGGAAAATCAAGAAGCATCTCCATCACCAAAGGATAGCCATCTAACGAATTAATACTGAACCAATACCAATGATATCAGAGAAATCTGTCTTGGGAGATTAAGATGCAAAACAGATCAATCAAATTAAGCAGGATGCTGTTTGG